TACACAGTGGCGGCTTCCCTGCAGGAGGGACGCAGCACCCCACCGGAAAGGTCACTCCTATCCCTGGTACAACCACCACACCTCCAGCGACCTTTTTCCTTCTAGCCCAAACACATGCCCTGCAGGGAATCTCACACCCCTGTTATCCTTGCAGCTGGCAGTCCTAGGCTGTTAAACATTAGACCATGTTAAGAGCAGTGCCCGGTCCCTTAGGATGGGGGAGGGGACAGCTTACACATGCGCTTGGGATCTTGCTGTAGCCTCCTATTCCGCACCTGCCAGAACATCTTTGTCTGGCTGTCCCCCTCCCCAATGCCCGTCAGGCCCCCTGGGGCACATCGCTCCAGGAGGATGGTGGGGTGAGACCAGGAGATCCATGCCATGGGGCAGGGGCACTGTCTCTACTCCTTACCCCAAGCCTGGACCCCCACAGGCTTTAGACAATGGTTGTTGTGGGGAGGTGACCCACCAGGGACACTGCCCAGGCCAGGATGGGCCTTGTTCTCCTTTCCCTGCCCTGCCTCCCTCTGCTGCTCTGGGTTCACCACCAAGGGCCAAGCAGCCCTTGGGCTAGGCTCTCGGAGTGTCTTGGATGCTCCCCCCATGCGCTGCCCTGAGCAACCTGCACCTAGGCTGCCACACAAAGCAAGGCCAAAGTTACCTGGCAACTGGGTCTCTGGGCAACCAGAGTCCTTGGCACCCATTCCCTCAGGTGCGGCAGGAAAAGGGCACTTGGAGGCAGGGAGAGCACCCTGCAGCCATTAGTAATCTGGGGGCAGGTTGAAAGCCATGGGGAGTGAAGGGCAAAGGGCATTAGGTTGCTGAGCCCCAGTCAGCCTACAGGATTTGTATCTCCAGGGGCCAAACCACTCCTAGAACCAGAGACAAGGCCTAAGCACTGCCTGTGAACCAGCTGCAGGGCGGGGGCTGGGGGGAGACTTGCAGAGCTGGTGTCTCATGGGCTCTCCAGGGATAAGAACCAGGCTGTTTAGCTCCAACACAGAACCAATGTTCAGCACTGGTATTAAAGCAGCCCCTCTACTAGCTAGCAGCAGAAATAGGTTCTTATCTTCTTCCCTGACACCAATGCTGGGATGCTACATCTGGTGCGTCACCTATAGTCTGACCACAAGGGACCCCAATCCAGAGGTTTCTGGCTAGAGGGTCTTGCCCCTCCACTCTGGGTCAGACCAATCACCATATTTGGGGTCAGGAAGGAATTTTACCCCATAGTCAGATTGGTATGGATCATGGAGGGGGCAGGGAGGAGGGTTGCTTTCCTCTGTAGTGGAGGATGTAGCCCTGTACCAGGGACCTCTTGAGCGTATACTTTTAAGATTTCATAGAAGCAGGATGTTGGCTGCTGTGGTTCCCCTACTTTACCTGTGGCAGATTAAGGTGTTAAGTCTGTGTTGTGTCAGGGATGACAGTAGTCTGATGTAGAGTTTAGATTATGGATTGCATAGGGCTGATCCTGACTCAGGGAGGGGGTTGGACTAGATGACCTCTGGACGTCTCTTCCAGCCCTACTTCTCTATCACTCTATAACCCAGCTGAGAGCTAATGGGGGCACAGAGGAACCTACACTTGTCTGCTTTCCAGATTCTTACTGGAGCAGCTGGCACTGGAAACTAGATGATTGGAGCTCAGGGGTGATCCAGATCACCAATGCCTGTATATACCCTGGGGGGAAGCTAAACCTCTGCAGGTCTTGGGTTTGTTCTTGGGATGACTGATATAGCTCCCATCCCTAGCTCTTGCCTCTGCAGCAGGAAGTATTGGCCCCAGGATCGGATGCTTTCCAATCTGAGGCAAGGGATAGAAGGGAACTGCAACAGGGGCTGTACTCAACCTGGCATCACACCTCTGCCTTTTCCCTGCAGGTGGTGAAGGTCTTCAGTGAAGATGGCACTTGCCGTTCTGTGGAGGTCACGGCGGGTGCCACAGCACGCCATGTCTGTGAGATGCTGGTGCAGAAGACCCATGCCCTCCATGATGACAGCTGGTCCCTGGTGGAGTTGCATCAGCACCTGGCACTGGGTGAGCAGATAGGCACATCCCAGGGACATCTTGTATAGCCAGCTTTGTGTGTGCATGGCCACCACTGTATTACTTGTGTGCAACTTCAGGCTCAAAGGGTGGGGAGACGAGCACAACCAGCTGTGTGCCCGTGGAACCAGGAACATGCAAACACATTTATGCAACTGGGTGCTTGGGGCTGGGTGGGACTCACCTGGCCAGCTCTGCCGGCAAACATCTGCATGCAGCCACAGGCTGGGGACGTATCAAATCAGAGACCCTCAGCAACCATAGCTGAAGCTTCTGTTGCTTGTGGCAAGTGACCCACTGGCACAGCTGGGAGTAGGTAGCAAAGCACTGTCATTGCTGGGGCCACTTCTAGAGGGAGACAGGGAGGCACCAGCTAAGCCAGAATGGTATGGTGCCAAACAGCAGGCAGGGCTGTTCCTAACATGGGATTTTCCCCTCTGCAGAGCGGTGCCTGGAAGACCATGAGTCTGTGGTGGAGGTGCAGTCCACTTGGCCTGTAGGGGGGGACTGCAAGTTTTTTTTCCGGAAGAACTTTGCCAAGTATGAGCTGTTCAAAAGCTCCCCAGTAAGTGCATGCTGGGGACCTGCCTCGTACAGACACTGGAATTCAATCAGGTTCCCTTGTTCCAGCTGGTGGGATGAAGTCAGTGTGTCCCACCAAGTCTCAGGGGGCAGGATGCCCAGAGAAGATCCCTGGAACAGAGAATAGCTCAGCCTCAGGGCTCTCAGCCAACCCAGACTGTGCATCAACCCCGATCAGAGGGGAGAAAGGTGCTCACTGGAGGGGTCCCCGAAGTTGCCATATTCTTGGAGGATCTGTCTGCTTTCCCCTCTCCAGACTTCTCAGGCATTTGAATTTGCTTAGCTAGAGATGTGCACCAAACACACTAATGCTGCTGGGCTTGAGAGTTTCCCTCCTGCTGCCCAGAGATCAGCAGGAGGGGTATGCCAATTTGCCAGCCCCCCAGTGTGTTAAGTCCTGCCTGTTGTAAGGCCACTGGTCTTGCCTCAAGGGAAGCTGGTCTGGCCCCTACCAAAATGTCAGCTGTTGCTGTGATGCCTCA